TTTTTTTCCAGTGATGCAGTTTGGGTTCTGGTGTTGACTAGTAGCTTTGAAGAAACTTGCTGGTTCCTGACATGTCAAAAATAGCTTTCATATTAAGTTCGTGAGAGAGTTTGTGAAAGTTTCACACACAGCATGTCAACATGTCACAACCAAATCCTCAAATTTCATTTAATTGAGCTGCCAAATAGACTCTGCCATTTTTCCACTCACCCGTCTAAACACTCAATCTGGTTCCACATCCAAACAACAACGGCAAATTCAGACAATGTGAGGCTCAAACAAAACAAAACAAAAAAAGAAAACATGAACTAGCTAAGTTTCTGTTTCAGATTTTAATAAAAACAAAACTAAGTAATTATCTTCCCAAAAAACCCCAAAAAATCCCACTTACAGGTTTCCACCGTCAATCTGGTTCCACTTCCAAAAAGTAACCTGTCGTATCCTGTCACACACTAGTTGCTTCCTTTACAAGAACCTCCTGAGATCTGTTTTGAACTTGCAAACCTCAACAGGCTTCACGGTGTAAAAAATGCACACAAAAAAATATATATATATATCTATATATATATTTTATCTTGTTTTATCTCAGCTGATTGAGGTAGTGACACAATTTGGGTCGTGATACATAAAAGCCAAACTTACAAGTCTCCACAGTCACTCTGGTACCGCTTCCGAAAAGAAATCTCCGAAATCCTGACACACATCAGTTGGTCCTTCAACAAAAACCTGAAGAGAAACTTTTCCAAGAACACAATCGAAATCCTAATGGGGAGGCACAGCTCAGGTGGTATTATGGTCGTTTTCCAGCCTGAAGGTCTTGGTTCCAATTCTGAGCCCGAGTGACCATACCTGGGGGTCCTTGACCAAAATACTAAAGCCTCAACTTGGTCCTGATGCTTGTGAGGATTGTTCAAGTGCTTTGAGTGCCTTCAAAAGCATGATACAAGCAAAATCTCTTTTGTCATTTACCTTCATTTTTCCATGCACAAATACAATGTATTGTCAGCGTACCAATTATCTGCTCGTTCCAGCTGCATGTATGGGAAAATTTACCAGTTGCGACACTCAAACTAGTTTCACAACAGTGGTCTGCCTCTTCACAGCGTTATTCCTCAGGGCGAGGTTCTTCTTCCGCAAGACTTTCATGTCATCCATGTTGACTGGACATCCTTCTCCAAGTGTCTGTGATGTCTTAAATCATGTTATTTGCATCAAAAAAGCACATAGCACTTGAGGCAATAAAAAGGAAGATTCGCGGCAGAAGCAAGGTGAACCTTTCCCTGAAAAACAGAGTGGAGAAAGAAAAACAAGTATTCACGGACAATGATGTCAACACAAGAGGTGGAAAATACAAGCTACCGTATATATTAAGATCATCCTGATTTCCACTGTCATGCTTGTCCCGCCCCCGAAGACAATCTTGAAGCCTGCAGCAGCCTTCTTGGAACAACATCCACTGTGACACAAATCTGCAACCACATTGGCCACGCCCACCACCTCTGGCTTCACCATGCTGGCATTATGTTGCGTCTCTTCAAAGTCCCGCTCAAAAGTCATTCACATCTATTTTAATGTTACCAGGTGGTCCGAAGTAATGGGACAAACTAATGGAAAATGATACAGGATCCGACATTAACGGTGGCCCAATTGCCTTATGGCCCTGGATCAGTGCGCCACTGTTGTCGGGCCACCACCGACATTCGAGATGCGGGCTCGGTCGTCAAGTACAAATTTCATGATTGTTAAACTGAAAATCTTGCTTTTAAACAAAATATTGTTTGGATTTGAAAATTGAGTTTTTAGCTGTCAGGCGAGGCAATCAAACTGTCTCGAAAGCAAAGGATCTTTTGGGCTCTCAGAAGCAAAAACTTGTCTTGTTAGGGGTTCACAGAGAATTTTTGCGACTACTTTTGAACATGGATTCTTTGTTCAAAACTAGGTGGCCACAATAAACAACCAAAACATATAGCTGTCAGGCGAGGCAATCAAACTGTCTCGAAAGCAAAGGATCTTTTGGTCTCCCAAAAGTAAAAACTTGTCTTGTTAGGGGTTCACAGAGAATTTTTGCGACTACTTTTGAACATGGATTCTTTGTTCAAAACTAGGTGGCCACAATAAACAACCAAAACATATAATGCTGGTGCGTGCTAAATTATTTCCCACAACAATATGTCTTGGCTTGAACAAGAAATAAGCTCAGAAAAAATATTTTTTTATCCGGATCTGTACTTTAATCACAGTCACACCAAGCTAACTTGCCTGGACACAAGGAGTCAGAAAAAAACAATACATAGAACAAAAAGCGCTTGTGAAGTAGAGGTAAGATCGGGCCAAAAAAAACCCAGCCCGACCCGACCCGGCCCGCTGGTACTTAAACCCGACCCGGCCCGACCCCGACCAATTAACTTGATTTGCAGGCCCCAGCCCGAATCAAACCCGACATTTCCTATTTTATTTGTGATGACTCGGGAGGAGGAGGGGTGATTTGTGATAACAAATTAAAGCCTGTCTTTTGTCACGAAAT